TAAATAGACCTACAGAGAGTAACGCCTGTTTAGAGTTTCCGCCCAACAATAAGCAATTTCGTTTTTTATTTCATTTATAGAGTTAAAATTACTCATAAATTTTCAGATGTAGTGGAAGGGTCTTGCGGGCTGGATGACAAGGCTTCCTGGGTCGGATTTTCGTCTCATCTGAATGACTTTTTCGTCCCATCTGAATTACTAGACAGCTGTCCTTGTCAAGCCCTGTGGTTTCCCCTTGTCAGTGGTGTAGGATGGAGAACCTGATAAAGATAGCTGTCTAGTCGTTTTGATGAAACGAAAAACCGAGTTCCCGTGGCAGTTGGAATTCTATATAAGAGTAGACTGTAGTGCCGCTGTCCAGGCAAAATTTCCCTCATAGCACACTGTACCACGTATGCCTGTCTTCATTAGCCCAGTCAGAACAGAAAAGTAGGATGTTAAACCCCATTTCATTTCATTAGCTTGGTTGGTGCAGAAATGTATGTCGTCAAATCCCATTTCATTTTCTCGACCATAGCAACATTGGTATGTCTTTAATGCAACTAGTTATGAAGACATATTGCTTGCGTAACTATTTATGGTAGAAGAAGATATATTGCTTGCTTGCGTAACCTTACATCACAGCTGGTTCCAGAGATAATGAAGATTTGACAGATAGTGTGCAAGACACAATGGAAGCAATTAGTCATAGCATCAATAATGATTAAGTCGGTGCCAGCTAATGGCTTTAATCTGTTTGCAGAAACTAGACCATCATCAACTTTCTTTATAAAGTGTAAAAGAGTGAAATTGGAAATGATGTAACCTGTCCTTGGAGAGAGAGAGAGAGAGAGAGAGAGAGAGAGAGAGAGAGTTATCAAAATAAAAATGCCCTAGTTTGTGTTGAGTGGAAGTTAAACCCCATTTCCCTCCCTCCCTCCTGCACTTACTATACATTTGTCAGATTTCATATTTGTGTGTAAAACGTATTAAGCATCTTGAATAGTTGACACAAACTCGGTGATTTCAGGGCTCAAAGGAAGGGAAGATAAATGGCTGCTTTCTATACTGGTTTATTGATAAGATGGAAACATGTGTCCCATGTTTACCTATGGCCGCATGTCAAAGATTCCCGGACTGTTTGTCGTTGAAAACTGAAAAAAAAGAGGGGTCAGCATTGGCCTAGTATGTTCCTCAATCTAATTTCAAATGAAATGAAATAAAAATAATATTTATAAAAAAATAAAAAATAAGAGAAGTCTTTAGTACCGCGGTTTGGACAAAATTTTTGTAATTTTTCACAGAATGGTATTTTTCTGTTAAAACCAATATAAAAAAAAATACTGATTCCGCATTTAAATTTTACAAACAAATTAATGGATTGAATTTTTTTTAAATATTATGCTTATCTAACATTTCCATATAGAATTTAATACAGTGGTCCCCCTTGTATAAACTATTCATGTCAGATCTTGAAAAGATATTTTTAGAAGAGGATATCATATAATTTGAATCATTGCATGCATCTGTGGCTTTTTACAGGCAATATTCAAGTTTCAAAACATGAGAACACAGTTCAGACTTGTCTTGATCTGACTTTCACTGACCTAGAGGTCAAAAGTGTTAAAGATACATTCCCACAAAAGTATTCATAGAGTAGTTATTCCCAATAAAAGTATGGCAATTTTGGTATACATTTACATGTTTATATGGAATATAGAGGCACTCAATCTTTCTAGAAAAATACTGCATTCCCTGAAAAACACCCATGGAGGGTGCCCACAGTAAGGTGTCATTATTAAGCCTTATGTTTTGATTGAATGGCTAGCAGTTATGAGAACATTGAGAGACTTAAACTTTAAACAGATAAATTTGATTGAATATTTTGTTTGTTTTTTGTCCTACATGAAATCACACAGTTTATACATGGGACGATATCTTTAATACCATAGAAGTAAGTCAGGATCATAATGGATGAGTTTGTTTGAATATGTTGGTTTTTTTTGTCCAACATGAAATATCTTTAAATATCATAGAAGTCAAAGTTTATAATGGATAAATTTGTTTGAATATGTTTTTTTTGTCCAACATAAATCACACAGTTTATACAAGAGAAGGTAAGGGATCTTTAATATCATAGAAGTCACAGTTCATAATGGATTAAAAAAAAAAATGTCCAACATAAATCACAAAGTTTATACATGGGAAGGTATCTTTAATATCATAGAAGTCACAGTTCATAATAGATAAAAACAAATTTTGTCCAACATAAATCACAGAGTTTATACATGGGAATGTATCTTTAATATCATAGAAGTCATGGTTCATAATGAAGTAATACAATGACATATAGATCAGAGGGCGGTACATATGTTATTACTTATTGTAAGAACTTGTTGTATATATGTATACACTATACTCAGTGAGATTGAAGGGTGTGGAATATATAGTACGTAATTCATGCCAGGAATCGTTTCCATAAGAATTATTACTCAATAAGTATTAACACAGTCATATAATTTATTTTTCTAAGATTTCTGACTGATATTCGGAGTCATGGTGGCTCAGTGAGTAAGGTGCTGGCTCACTAATTCCTGGCCCCAAGTTCACAAAACATTCTCAGACCTAAACTAAGAATTTACTCAAAATTGTTCGCCTTATTTTAACTAAAATATAGCTCTTTATAAAACTTTTGTTGCTTTAATGTATCAAATACGTCAATAAGAAACTAAATGCAAAGTTTTGTGTTTCTGGATCAAAGATATTTCACATAAACAGTGATTGAAAGTTGAAAAAACTTAAAGGGACTATCCCGATATCAAGAGAGTCTCAAAAATAAAAGTCGGAGTACGTATGAAATTTAAGAGCCAAAATATAGAGGAATAGGGTATTTACCTTCTCTCAAAATTCCAGCTCAAATTATTGAGTTGTTTTGATGTGAATGTCAAAATTGCTTATCCGGACACGTAACCCTTTTAAGATTTCGGGTCAGTTTTTTCGTTGGGTGACCTGATAATCGATTCCCGTTCCTTGAGAAGTCTATGTAGTGAATGACCCATGTGCTGTACTTGATAACGAAAGGTAAATTTCAACTACACGTTATTTTTTATCCCATCAGAAAATCTTGAACTTTCTTAGTCAATGCAGGGATCAAACACCAGATCTCCGGGCTAGCGAACCAGCGTCTTACCCATTTAGCTACCGTGGCTCCTGAGCGAACGAGTGTCCTACCCACTTAGCTACCGTGGCTCCTGAATTGAATGAAGAGAAGATGGAAACGCTGTTGTCTGGACAAAGTTCCTTCATGCCATAATGCATTGTACACAAGCCTGGAAATAAGGCACCTGTCATTAACAATGTCAGGTACAGATTAAGGCTTTGTCAGGCACTAATCCTCTGGTGCCTGTCATTTTGTCCGGCACTGATTTGTCTTTTTTATTGATATTATTAATACATGTCCGACACAAAGTTGAAAAAATGTCAGGTACATCTAAAATCGTTATTTCCAGGCTTAATTGTACATATCCATCTTCATTAGAATTCAACCTAATTATTTTAGGTAGAAAACTGTAAATATGTTGTACATATGTCCATGGATTCTAGTGTCAAGTTACGGTCTAGATTTAATACTAAATGTAAAACAATGTAAAAATAGCATCAAAATGGAGTTTTAGGATAAAAAGTAACGATTAATTCAGTTTTTGATAATGGAACTACCCTTATTGTTGTTCAGGGATAAACTGTCCTTGGGGACAAATAGTCCTATGGCACTAATAGTCTTGATATGAATTGTCTGGGAACCAATTGTCCGGGTACAAATTGTTCAGGGACGAATTGTGCTAGAGTCGTATACATGTACATATGCATATACTGGTAACGTATATAATATGTAAGATAATAAATAATAACAGGGTTTTTGAGCGGTAAGATCAGTCCTGTTTTATTTGGGTTAATGAAAATCTTCTTGAATTTCACTCCAATTCTTGCTGAATCAGTAAATATGTTCATTTCAGATCTCCATCATTTCAGTTGCATTATTGAACAACTTTCAGTGTGAAAATAACAGGGGTTGCCAGGCAAGATACGCATACAGTTTGCAAGAGATGGATAGAGAACAAACTAAAAAAAAAAAAAAACGATTTTTCGTAAAATCAGAGGCCATAATCCAGGAAGTTATGGTCTGAAATGCGTAAATATCGAAAGGGACTGAGATATGTGGGATATTTTAAGTTTCATCAAAATTGGATAAACATTGTGTCTTCTTTGGGTCAACAACCTTGGTATTACATACCTTTACAATATCTGCGTACAAGGAGTGGCCATTTTGTCTTGCAGTTTGGCTCAGATTTTTACGAAATTCAAATTCAACCTTCTAAATCATCCCAAAATTAGGCTGGCTGTCTACAGCTAGCTCCACCTGAGAACAGGCCCTAAGCTCATCAACCAACATTTTAATTCCTACATTGACGATTTAAGTCGAAAACACTGAGTATGCTTTTAGAAATTTTTAGAAGTATTTATTTCTCTTCTATTTTCATATTGAATGAAATTAAATATGATTATTTAGCCGTTGTGTGTATGAAAGATGTCAAACTACTCAAAGCTAAATCACGAAATAGTCCACTAATTATTCAATATGGCAGCACCCATGAAAGATAATTTTACAGACGCGGTTTTGTTTGCGAAGACAAATTTAGGAGTATCTAACCTTGTTTTGAAAGCTAAACAGATTGAAACTGTAAAGACAGTTTACAATGGTAAAGACTGTATTGCAATATTACTCACTAGCACATATTATATATCGCTTTTACCGGAGTGGCAGAAGTCAACATTTTGCTAACTTGACATTTGTTTACATAAACCATGTGCTTCGGGTGTACAAAGCAGTAGGCCAAAATGATCACGTGAGCGTTTTAAATGGACGACATTTAGGGCAGTGATGTATTCTCGAAGTATGACGAAGATGGATTGCTGCATGCAGTATGGTACTAAATTATCTTATAAGATATTGATTAACTTACCTTTATTTCAAAAGAGGAATTTCCAAAAACAGCATTATCGGCTAATGAATATTCAAATATTCTTCCGAGATAGGCAGTGGCATCGGGTAAGCCATCATTTACGTTTAAAAGAGGTGTTGGCGTGGCAGTATCATTTTCTGCCATCTGCACTGTGGATAGATCCTGATCACCATGGATACACACTGTCAGGCTTATTAGCGCCAGTACACTACACGGTAACAACATTGTTCCGTCTGTTTGCCGTAGACTGAATGAAATAAATCCTAATAAAACTTAAATTTAAAGACTCACGGCTCATCACAGCCATTCCAAACACCCGAGTCTGCGATTAGTCCACATTTCTGAAAAATAAAAATATTGAATTTTCATAAGTCAGTGATTATCAAATTAACGTTAAACATTAATTATGCAAGAGCTAAATCTGCCTATTGCAGTTCTTTCTTTAGGCCTGAAATGTTATCTAAATTATTAATTAAACATTTATTAACTTGACAAGACCATAATCAATCCTTGATGGCATTGGATTTCTCTGATATTAAATAGATTAGAACAGTTCAGCCATATTTTGATTTAAGCTAAAAATAGGAGCGAGACTTAGCTTCAAACAACCAGTACGGTGGTTGAAATTATTGCACACATCTTGAATGAAATTTTCAAATTATTCATTTTACATTATCTATTTTCGAACTATTATAGCAAGAATGGCTAGCTCTTTATCTAAATCTTACATAATGTATTTTTAATATTAAATTTCTTTAATCAACAGAAACAAATTAATTAAAGGTGTATGGCTCTGTTCTTTGGAACCTTAAATGGGTCTAAAAGCACAATATGAATATATGTAAAGTGATTTATATTCATTTTTTAAATAATGCATTGTAATTTCTAATCAGTTATGTTCGGTGGAATACGTGAAAAGTCCAAATTGAACGGCAGTCATTTACACCTATTTAGTCCATTCTACACTCTTTTTTTGTAATTATTTTGTCCTTTGTGAATCAGCGATTACTAATTACACCTACTTGTCTTTCTTTGTTCATTACAAATGGCACCCAAAATGGGTACACAACTCGTGTGTTGATTTTAAAATATTCAATGTGTCTTTAATATTGGATATTAGAATCCCATATTTTCATGGCAAAAGAACAACACCAACATTCATTGAAATGGACCAATATTGAATTCTAATCTGTGTTTTGCAAAATACTGAGTTATGGATTTAACTCCTAAGTCTGCGATTAGTCAACATTTCTGAAACATGTAATATTGAATTATCAAAATAAATTCAATATAAAATTTCCTGAATCAACAGAAAGAAATTAACTAGTCTTTTCTCCGACAAAACTTATCTGATGATATCATCTTCTTTAGCGCCATATAGACATGATAAGTAATCTTTCGGGTGTTTTTTTAATCGATTTTACCGACTCTCAGATCTTTCATGCATTCAATCCAAGTTACAAGTGGTGTTTAACTTGCTAGAAAAATAAAATGGATTATAAACATGTTGTTTTAAAGATCTAACTATTGGTAACAAATATATTTGTCTAAATTTGATGTGTATTTTTGAATTTCTCAATCTGATATGTAGGAGTATTTTTGACTGTCTCAATCTGATATGTAGGAGTATTTTTGACAGTCTCAATCTGATATGTAGGAGTATTTTTGACTGTCTCAATCTGATATGTAGGAGTATTTTTGACTGTCTCAATCGGATATGTAGGAGTATTTTTGACTGTCTCAATCTGATATGTAGGAGTATTTTTGTCTCAATCTGATATGTAGGCCTATTTTAGACTTTCTCAATTTGATATGTAGGCCTATTTTAGACTTTCTCAATTTGATGTTTATTTTTGATTTTCTTAATTCATTGTGTATTTTTCACTTTCTCAATTTGTATTTTTGAATATAGACAATCTATACATCACTTTGATATGATAAGTTCATACAAAGTGGAGTCACGGTGACTCAGTAAGTGATGGCTCACTGACCAGAAAATTCGGGGTTAGAGAGAAAAATGGGGTTTAACCCCCACACGACACAAACTAGGTCATTTCAGGACTAACATATGGTTTAGTTTTATTTCAATAATTCGCTTGTGTGTAAGGGTCTTTAGCAGTGGGAGGAAGCCTAAAGACCCAGAGAAAACTCTGAGGTTGGACAGTTATGTACAACCAGGCAATCAAAACCATGCCAGTTAACTCAATGACAGGCCTTATGATTGATACAACACGCACGTTCTAACCATTCGGCCACCCACCCTCCACCCACAAAAACAGGAAGTTAAACCAAATTTCATTTAATTAATTTAATTAATTCTTTATCTGAGAGAAATGAAATGAAATGAAATGGGGTTTAACGTCCTACTGTTTTGTGGTTTCGAATCCCCGGTTGTACGTGACAAGGAGTAGGGTCGCCTGTCCAACCTCGTGGGTTTTCTCCGGGTCCTCCGGTTTCCTCCAACTGCTAAAGACCCCTATGCACAAGCGAATTATTGAAATAAAATTAAACCATATGTTAGTCCCGAAATGACCTAGTTTGTGTCGAGTGGACGTTAAACCCCATCTCTCTCTCTCTACTACTGTTTTGCTCCAAACTGGGCTAATGAAGACGGGTTTATCTGAGAGAGACTGGGGCAAAAACTCAAAACCCATGATACAAAGCGTGTCAATAAATGTATCCCCTTCATTTAGCTGCTGCAATAAATATTTGTAATTGTCCCATCCGAAAGACTAGACATATTACTATAGTATATAGTGCAGGTTATATTGACTCTTTAAGGATTCCATACAAGTTACTTGCTACAGACGTAATCAATCTTTTAAATTGGCTTATCGCATGGTATTCCGACAACCAAATGGAATCGGTGAGAGCTGTTTAAAAACAAACAATAGAACTTCGAGGATTCAACTCTTGTAATTGATAAAGATGGAGACGTTTTTGTTTAGAAGGGTTTTGTGTGCTGTATTGATTTTTTGAACAAAAGTTATTCATAAAAGATGACATTAGAAAATGATAATATGGTTTTCATGACAATTTATACGACTCAAACTCGCAATGATCATTGAAAACATGAATGATGCATGTGATTGGTTAGACCTGCTCATGTAATTTAGGCAACGACAAAAAAGGTCAGCAGCTTGTTTGTATCATTATTCATTCAATAAAAGTACCGTACCTGACCCAGAAAATTTTCAATATATTTTCAATTCATTTTCGCACACTAGGAATATATACATATTTTGGGCCAAAGATAGAACTTAATGGAGAGAGAGAGAGAGAGAAATGGGGTTTAACGTCCACTCGACACAAACTAGGTCATTTCGGGACTAACATATGGTTTAATTTTATTTACATAATTCGCTTGCGCGTAGGGGTCTTTAGCAGTGGGAGGAAACCGGAGGACCCGGAGAAAACCCACAAGGTTGGACAGGCGACCCTACTCCTTGCCACATACAACTGGGGATTCGAAACCACGCCAGTCGACTCAATGACAGATTTTATGATACAGCGCGCGCACGCTAACCATTCAGCCATCCAACCCCCCAGAACTTAATGGACTTTACATGTGATGTAATAAAACTCTGTAAAGCCGATTTATATAAGTCCCTGACTTGTTTCCTTATCCCATGAATAAAATTCTGGGCCAAAGAAAGATAAAACTTGGGCGTAACTTAAAGATACATTATGGGAGATTAGATACATGTAAAGAGCTGGCAGTTCTCAATTTAATAGTTAAAACTAGATAATGTAAAGGCAATTTGCTGAAAATTTTAGTGATAACTTTTGGCCTAGCCTCGATCATCATTACGATATAAAAAATAGTCTCGATTATTTTAGAAAGCTTAAAAACAAGAGTTTAAATTACACTAAAAGGTTAAGAATTTCATTATAATTGCATTATAACAGAATTTTATCGATTTTCCATTTTTATGATTAATCATGAAATGCCCTAGAATTGCAGATCGTATTCAAATCTGTTTAAAATCGTACAAATAAGATGGCATCGAGAGTTGATTATGGTCTTGTTATGTAAATAAATGTCTAATTAATAATTTAGATAATATTTAAGGCCCAAAGAAAGACCTGCAATAGGCAGATTTAATTCTTGCATAGTGTATATGTGAGCTGCTCCAACAAAACAAGGCTCTTGGTCATTTTTATAAAAATAAAGCTGGCAGCATATTTGAATAGTCCACAGCCTAAGCTTTCCAAAAATGCAATTCTTTTTAAATTTGTCATTTCATCTTGAGTTGAGTTCAGCTCATTCACAGCAACACGAATGTCATGACTACAGTTTATATGCTTTTGTGCCCATGGTACCAAATGAAGTTGTGCAGCAAGCGCCTGTTATCGTGGGAGCGAGCCACATATGTTTAATGATATTTTCAATCTGGATTTACTGGTGGGAACTCCATCCCAGTGGTGGTTACCTCAAGCCCTACGTCGTCAGTTTCATGGTACAAATCTTGGTAATTTTGTAAGTGTTGGGTACCAGTCTATTTAAAAGAGTGAAAGAGTTAAGATTAAATACCACCCAAGTTGTTAGTGGAACCAAGAAAATATATAACATGATTTTGTAAAAGCCATTTTTGTTTAATCACAGTCACAAGAAACTGGACACAATCGTACCCCCAAACGTACAAATCAGCAACCAATCGTAACCTGTACCAAAATGAAATGGGGTTTAATGTCCTACTGTTCTGCTTCGAACTGGGCTAATGACGACGGGCATACGGCATACAGTGTGCTATGGCGGAAATTGTGCCCGAACAGCAGCACTACAGCCTTCTCTTATATCGAATTCCAACTGTCAAGGGATCTTTTACGTGCATGCCAATGTGTACATGGGACCTCAGCTTTTCGTACCATCCGAATGACTAGACAGTTGTCCTTGTCAGGCCCTCCATCCTGCATCACTGATAGAGGGGAACCATGTCGGAAAATCTTGATTAACTTTCTCGGCCAATGCAGGGATCGAACACCCAACCTCCAGGCTAGCGAGCCAACATCTTACTCACTTAGCCACCGTGGCTCCCTAAAACAGTACCAGTTAGTCGCACCAATGTTTGGGAGAGAGAGAGAGACAGACAGAGAGAGAGAGAGAGAGAGAGAGAGAGAGATCCACTTAACACAAACTAGGTCATTTGTAGTTTAATTTTATTTCAATAATACGCCTGCACGTAGGGATCTTTAGCAATGGGAGAAAACTCAAGAGGTTGGACAGGCCACCGACCTGTTTCCTGCAACTAGTTATTTCCAGTACTTCACAAATTAATTAGCTATCGACTATCAAGGCTTAATTCAGTTCATGATCCAAGTAAATGGCACTTTTTAACGA